CTATTATTATAAGTTCTTGATATATATAGTCAAAATCACATGTCAGAAAGATTATGCCAATTTATATTTCTAATTGCAGTAAATCAGACTGTATTTTAATGTTTCAGCATCATCACTGAGTACTAGCAGTTTTTAAAGATTTTTGGCAAATTCAATAAAAAGTTTTGTTAATGTGTATTTTGGAACAATTTTTCACATTTATTAATACTTGTATTTGCATTACCCAACTATGAAGTGACTGTTCATTTCTTTACCCAGTTACCTACAGAGTTTGTGCTGTTCTTATTTTAAAAAACCAAAAGACCAAAAATTAACCTAGAGGACATTATGCTAAGTGAAATAAGCCAGTCAGAAAAAGACAAATACTATATGATACCACTTACATGAGGTACCGAGAGTAGTCAAATTCATAGAGACAGAAAGTAGAAGGGTAGTTAAGTTACCAGGGGCTAGGAGAAGGGTTAATAGGTACAGAGTTTCAGTTTTGCAAGATGAAAAGAGCTCTGGAGATTGCACAATAATGTACTTAACACTTCTGAACTGTACACTTAAAAACGGTTAAGATAGTAAATTTTATGTTATGTGTATTTTACCACAATTTAAAAAAACTCTCTCTTCATGTAATCCCCATCAAAATATCAACAACATTCTTTACAGAAATAGAAAAAATAATCTTAAAATTTATATAGAACCATCAAAGACTCAAAACCACTCTGAGCAAAAAGAACACAACTGGAGGACTCACCTGACTTCAAATTATACTACAGAGCAGTAGAAATCAAAACAGCGTGGTACTGGCACTAAAAGCAGATGCACAGACGAATGGAACAGAATAGAGAACACAAAGAAATCGACACATCTATAGCGAACTTAATTTCTACACAGGTACCAAGAACACACATTAGGGAATGAACAGTCTCTTCAATACATGGTGCTGGGAAAACTGGATATCCATATGTAGAAGAATCTCTTGCCATACACAAAATCAAATCAAAATGGATTAAAGACTTCAATCTAAGACCTGAAACTATGAAACTACTAAAAGAAAACATTGGCATACCTCTAAAACACACTCCCAAAGCACAGGCAACCAAAGCAAAATTGGAAAAATGGGATCACATCAAGCTAAAAAGCTTCTGCACAGCAAAGGAAACAATCAATAAAGTGAAGAGACAACCCACAGAATGGGAGAAAATATTTGCAAACTACCCATCTGCCAAGGAATCAATAACTAGAATATATAAGGAGCTCTAACAACTTAATAGGAAAAAGTAAAATAATCTCATTAAAAAATGGGCAAAAGATATGTATAGACATTTCTCAAAGGAAGATATACAAATGGCCCATAGGTATATGAAAAAATGCTCAACGTCGTTAGTCATCAGAGAAATGCAAATGAAAACTACAATGAGATTTCATCTCACCCCAGTTAAAATGGCTTTCATCAAAAAGGCAGTAACAAATGCTGGTACGGACGTGGAGAAAGAGGAACCCTCTTACACTGTTGGCGGGAATGTAAATTAATGCAACCACTATGGAGAACAGTATGGAGGTTCCTCAAAAAACTCAAAATACAGCTACCATATGACCCAGCAATCCTACTGCTAGGTATATATCCAAAAGAAAGGAAATCAGTATATTGAAAAGATATCTGCATTCCCATGTTTATTGCAACACTATTCAGAATAGTCCAGATTTGGAATCAACATGTACATCAACAGATGAAGGAATAAAGAAATTGTGGTGTATATATGTGTGTGTATATATATATGTATATAAACAATGAAATATTATATAGCCATAAAGAATGAAATCCTG